AGATTGTGAAGTAAAGAATATATTTAAGGATTTAAACGGTAATGGGGGCATAGGTCTTAAAAGTTTGAACATGTTTGTAGAGCCCCTTTCCTTTCCGCAAAACCGGTTAGTGGAAGCAAACATTGTGCACACAAATATTAATGCCCTGAAAGGAAGAACAAGATCCTTTATTCATTCAGTTACAGTCTTAAAATATTGATAAAGATAACAGAAACTGCATGCTGTATAAAATACAATAGCAACTAATTTATTAATTTATCATTAAAAATGCGGTCAAGCTGCCACCCATGTGGTTTGTCCTATTACCTCTTTTCTGATTCATCCATGTGACTCTATATAACTTCCTCCTATCTTTCACACCTTCACCCTTATTGGTTACATTTATGGTTCACAGTAACAACAGAATAAATTACATTTTCTTTTCTTCAAAGATGCTTACACTATGTTTCCTTTCTTTTCTTGAATATCTATTTTTTTTTTCTTCTTCCTAAAAGGTATATAAATATGTATTAAAGGGTATAATTTATGCATATAATATATGTATGTATATGCAGATGCATGCTGTGAAAATAAAGGCAGCACTCCCTTTTCATTTCACTTTTTACCCTTTTTTCAAAATGACATTGATTTAAAATCTTGACAATAACACAAGTGTGATTGAAAGAGCAATCCATCGTAGTGAGTTGATATAAACATATGAAAAAATGGAGTGACAGAGTCAGAGTTACAGTGCAACTGCAAATGATAAGCATGTGCTGGTAAAAAAAATATCTGATATTGCTACTGGAGTATTACATGCACCACTTAACACAAAAAAGGAAAAAAGGATTAAAAAAAGAGTTAGGAGTTAGAAGTGAAGAGAGAAAAGAAATGTGAGGTCCCCATCATCCTCAATTTCCCATGTCATGGTTATATGAATGTGGTAACTGATAAGAGAGCTCAGTTCCCAATCCTGAAACTCCCATGTTCCACTGCATTGCACACATTTCTTAACATGTCTTGCCCAATGCCTTGCATTTCACAATCCTCTTCCTCTTCATCCTATCACACTTCTTTTCGCCACCAAAAATGACTTGTGAGAATGTGTTTCAATTATAATTTGTAAAATCATGTTTGAGTTACTAAAAAATTACTGTAACTTATTTTAACACTACTCAAACTATTGTTTGTTTGGGATCCAAAAACCAAAATCATGTTCAAGTTCAATATAACCCATTATTTTGCCAAACATCTCAGTTCATGTTTAAAATTTGTTGGGAATACTCAAAAGTATTTGAATATGGATCATCTGCAATTGAGAAAAAAACTGTATCCGGTGCAGTTGAATATATATATATATATCAATGTGGTAAAGCAGATTCATACAGTTGAATCTTGTATTAAAACTTACAAAAATATTTTTCTAACTATTATCCGAACATAACCTTATTTATAGATAAAACTCATTTTATGTTGCGTATTTTTGAATATTTTGAGTGTTTTAAAAGAAACAACTTTTGCATCGACTAAATGAAGAGAAATAAAATAACTTTGTTTTAAATCAAAAGTTAATCTTATAATATAAACTTTATTTGAGAATTGTGATATGATATTAACTTCATTTTAAAAAAAAAAATTGAAACCATTTTTCAGTTGTTGATAGTTTTGAGAGGATCTTCTTATTCTACCTATTTATTCGGTCAAACATTTTATCTTATTGTAAATAACTCAATACAATATATTATAATGGTTATTATTGATTTCGGAAAAAATATTGTTTACTTTTTTTCTTCTCACGTTATTTCCTCTCTTTTTTGGAGTTTATATAAAAATGTGAAAATGTTTTTTTTTTTTACTATTTCTTATATAAGTTTAATTATGAAAGCATAAAATAAAGTTTAAAACATAAAAATAGACTTTTTCCCGACTAAATGACCTTTTAATTCCTTAATTTCAAATCTCTATCTCCTCTCATTCTCTTCCTTTCTTCCTCTCTCTATTATTTTTTTTAATTATAGTGTATAAATATGAAGTATCTGTCATTGAAAATAATGACTAATTTTAGTAAAAAATTATGTATATATATATATATATATATTAACATAATTTATTTCTTACTCTTTTTCATCATCAAAGATTGAATTAACATGAGAAAATAAAAAGTAACTACCATCTAGTTCGTTTGAATTAATTACAATTTTAAAAAAATTGTTTATCATAAAAAAATCCTTGGTTCTATAAGTCGGGATTAATTTAACAAATATTTCAGGGAGTGGCTACATTACTAGTGTTTTTTTAGTGACGTTCTTATTTAACGAGTTTCATATGAAATTTGATATATTTTAATAATTTTAATTAATAATAAAAACATATCACTAAAATCTCTTTCTATATATACATATTTTTTAAAAGAAACATATATGTATTTAATATTTACTGTGTGTATTTCATTAGAAGAATGTTAATGACACTCTCAACATTTTCTTTGTAATATTGAGTGAAGCTTATTAAATTAAAAAGAAATAGTTTATTCTATCATTATTTAGAATAAACTTAGTAAATGAGATGTAGAATACGTGGTTGAAGCAAGTTGATATATTATTATAGAAAAAGGCGATTGGCAGAAAGGGTATAGGAATGGCGAATGAAAGAGATTCCTGTATTTGGACCACTTCGAAGACTCTGCTATTCCTCCCCACCCACATGGATTCTCTCTTTCTTTTATGCTTCCCCATATTTGTTCCTTTTATCACAACACTCACTGCACCATTTCTTTTTCCCTTTTCCTATTCATTCACTAAAAAATATCTTACTTACAATAACATATAAAAATATGTCATTATATCTATAATATACCTATATATATTTATACATTCACCCTTTAATTTCTAATTGGTTAAGATGATAATATATATGTTAAATTATATATTCATCCTTTAGTTTTGATAAGTCTTTCACTACATTAAAATTAATTTTTTTAGCAATTAATTTATTATTTAGCGGTCATATAAATTGTCATTATTTTTTTATCAGTATTTAAATAAAGACTGGTGTATCCAGTGTTAGTGTGTTACTAATACCATTACCGGCATTTATATAAAATGCTAGTAAATATCTACTAAATTGTTAGAAAAACTTATTCTTTTAGTGACAATTTTAGTAGCCATTTTAAAGGCCATTAAAAGTTATTTTTTTTTCAATTGTCTCCTTTACTTTAAATAATTTATTCCTATAATTTCCTTTTCTAAATTCAGAACTTATATACTTTTTTTTTATCTCTACTCGATATGAGATTTGTAAGATGAGGGTTGTCTTTTATTTATATATTTTTTAATTTATTTTTTCAATTATCTTGTCTTTTAAGAAATGTGAGATTTATAAGGAGAAAGTTACTCTCTAATTGTTTTATAACACTATTGAATTTGGTAATAATGAGTGATTTGATACTAATTTAGAATAGTGAATTAGGAGTCAATCCTATAAAATGAACCTATAAGGTGATAGTTATTACTCACTTATATACTATTTAATTATCTTATCACTAATCAATGTGAGACTTAAGTTTTTTCTAATAAATAATTGTCACTAATAGTAAACTTTAATGTAATATAAATATATTTTTAGTAGCTATTATATATTAATCATTAATATTTTTATATATGACGATAATTAAATTATTATTATTAAATAATTGTTGTTAATAACAAATTTTGTTGTATTCTTCTCATTTTCGATTCAAGTTTTGTATGCATGTATAAAGTCAGATCACAGAATCAGCAACTTACTGAGAATTATTATGTGTAATAATTAAAGTGAAAGATTATGAATCTAACCATGTTGATGATGTAAGAGAAAAGAAAGTTTTTGAAGCTCTTCATGTGAAGAATAAATGGTGCCCTTGTCATCTAGTGGGAAAGATTAATAATCTTTTCCCGCAAAATTTGATTATATAATTACCCAACACATGATCTGAATGCTATGAGACATATATATAGGAATATAAGCAGTACCTAATCTAAAACAAGGGTCAAATTTTTGATATCCCAAAAAGAGAGCAGTCTCCTAACATTCACATGTTTTTGCCTTTCTGTTCATTTCTTACCTAAAAACGGGAAACTAAAGATCCCAAGTCCAAAAGAAGATGATGAGTGATGGAAAAGAAGAAAAGATGAATCTATGCACATGATATGCGGGGGAACAGTTTAGTATTTTCTGATGGATCTTGTTCTCATATATAATTTCTATGACAGTATCCCCCATATATCTAACACTTTACCAAGTTAGAAAAATTGTACACTTATGAAAATGATTAAAAAAAAAAACACCTTTAAAAATATTAGAGATCTTTTATTAATTAGTGATAAATATATAAATAAAGTATGATTTATTTTACAGATGTGTACAGTTTATTAAAACCAACCCATGTAAATTTTATAATTAATAATTACTGTGATTTTGAATAAAAATAGATAGGTATATATAGAGGAATGTTATGATTAGTCTAGTTGGGTAGAGCAGTGAATCATTGATTAAGAAGAGAGGACAGTCCTGTGCTGCAAATGAGGTCACATATGATAGGATTTAGGTATAGGGAAGGGAAGGTAGTATTAGTAAAGGAATATAATTTGATATAATTATTAGTATACTATATGTGATACTATAATAATCTAAACAAGCCTCTAGTATAAAGAAGACACCTCAGCATGTATTTATTATAGTTTTGCTTGAACGGAAGGGAAGTAGCCAATAACAAGAAGGGTTGGTTTTAATACTAAGGGAGGGTTGTTATATTTGCTTGGCTCGTTCTCCTAAGCAGTTGGTGTATTAAAAATATGCACACATACAAACACTCTGAACTTTGATTAATTTATAGTAATAGTAATAAAGTAAATGGAGAGGACAAGGTGATGGCGATTGGGGGAAAGGAAAAGAAAATGATGTATAACGGTCCTTTTTATGATTATTATTATGAGATAAGATGATGTACCCATTTGCCAAATGCAGTGCCCTTTCTCATCGATATTACCCATTCTCACATGCTGTATGTACCCTTCTCTCCTTGCTAACTTCATTGGAAGATTCAAAACAAAACATGGCTTCATGCTTCATGCTTCATACTCTCACCAACACTCGTGATTATGGTCAAGTTCTACTCCCCTCTTACTATAATCATGAATTGAGGCTTTCTATGAATTTTATTCTAAACTAATGCGAGTTCAGGATGGCCATTTCTTTTTTACTTTCAATGTAGATGCTGACGACCATGATGCAACGGTCTTTTATGTGCCATGTTTCTTGTACCAAATGGGATATTAATTTTTGTCCAATATTTTATGCAGTGAGAGAATACAAAGAAATGCAAACAAATTCTTGTCTAACGAAAATGGTACGATCACATCTGCAGCTGCCACTTGACCATAAGGGCAGAGCCCACTGTGGAACATATTTGCTAGTGGCACAAGAATTATAATATCGCCACCACTATGATTCATATTTATATCAGAAATCAATATTACTTTTGTTCTTTATATTAAAATTGTTCTGATTTTCTTTGTTTTTGGCAGAATTCTTGTGGTTTTCTATTATGTCTTTTATCTATCTTATTAGTGAATTTCTCTTTCATTTATTAATTACATTTCTACGTAATTTTATGATAAATGTGTAAAATAATTAAAAATTAAGTGAAGTTAAGAATATAATTAACAAAATAAATTAACATTGCTTAAACTAACAAAGAAAAATTAAGGAATTTCGTTCAATTGGTTTAATAGGTTTCTCAATGTTGTGAACTCTTAGTATTTTAATGAATAAAAAAATTAACATATAACATAGTTAGAAGCTTATAAGTTAAATCAACTCTTATATATCAAATACAAAGTATTACTTTGCATAAGGGTATTTTTAACATTTTTTTCGACAAAAGAGTTTATAGAATTTTTTTTTAATTTTTTATTTAATTCAATTTTCATTTATTACTAACAATTTAGCTTGTGTAGTGTATAAATTAAATATTTATTATATATAACTAAATTTTGTAATAATTATATATAAAAATAAATATTATGTTTAAAAATGTTGTGTTTAAAATTTTATATAAATCAATACTTTTGAACATATAAATTATATTTTAAATTTATGATAAATAATTTATATATAGAACAAGGTTATTTTTATATATTAATAGTATATTTTAAAATATTAAAAATTAATTCATAAATAATCATGATAAATAAAAATTAAATTAGATAAGAAATTAAAAAAACTCTAAAAACTTCCTAATAGAAGAAAAATCCCTAAATAGTCATTTGTGTTTAATATATAGAAGTTAATAATTATTTATGAATTAAATACTAATATTTTAAAATAAATTATCAATAAATAAAAATAATTTTGTGTTAAAATTTAAATTATTTATCATTAAATCTAAAATATAATTTATATGTCTAAAAATATTTAATTATAAAAATTTTAAATATAATTTATATATTAAAATATAATATTTATTTATATATAATTTAGTATAAATTATAATTATATTATATATAATAAACATGCATGTGCATTAGACATGTTAAAATGCTAGTTTATACAATATATAATTAAGTTAAAAACTGAAATTTTTTAAACTATATGATTGAATTGAACAAAGACAATTTTTTAAAAAAAAAAACTGTTATTTATTATTATTAATTTATTTTCACGATAAATGAGTAAATTAAGTGAAAATAAAGATATGCATAACAAAATAATAATCATATTATTTTAAAATTTTAAAATGAAAAATAAAAATATATATTTCTATAAAAAGTGATACTTAAAAAGAATAAAATTAGCTGGCAATCCCTTAAGAGTTAAATTAATAGTGATTTTTTATTTTAAACAAGATAGAGTCCAACTAATCCTTGTAAAAAATGGAGTAAAATTTTTGGATGTATTTAGGCTATTTGAATGGTTTCTAGGTGGCGGGCTTGCCGGCCACTACAACTTTATTTATTTGTCTGTTAGTCTTGCATGCAGGCGAATCGCACTTTAGAAAATTCAGAATCGAGAACAAAGACTCATGATGCCGCCAGAAAATATTATTCATGTTTCTTCTCTTTGCAGAACTCATAAATATCAAATTTCACTAAAGCATGGCACAGATTAACCTCTTGAAGAAACTGAAACTTAATTTTGATTTAGGACCACTGGTGACCAAACATTACATTGTGTATTCAACTAATTTTGAAATAATCAAATTAACATTTGAGTGTTTAAAAAATATTTCATAAGAAATAGGGGATGAAAGATTTTCTAACAAACACGCGCAAACTTTGGCCAAACACAGCAGACAATAAAGTGAAATGAATCCCTTTTTAGATTACTTAGCAATCAAAATCTTATTGCTGGTTTTAGACATCACAAGTAGGCAACAATTTAACAATGGAATACAAACATGATGTCTTTATCTATCTAACAAACTGTCCACTGTTACTACCTTAAAGAACACTGCATGCAACAATTTAACAATAATGGAATACAAACACAATGTCTTTCCTATAACTAACATACTGTCGACTGTTGCTACCTTTACAAACACTATCATTGTCTATCTCCTATTCAGTCGCAACTATTTTTCTTAAACCCCATCTCCATTGCCCGATATCATTATCTGTCATTGGCATGATAACAACAGTGTATCCCAAGGCCCTTTAGTTCTTTAGTAAAAAGGCTGCTAAGTAGTAGGCCCATTGAATTTGTTTACTTCCTTGTTTTCATTTTCTTTTTCCTAATTGCGTTTAGGGTTACACTTCATGCCAGGTTCCAGCCAAATCGAAAAGGGGAATGTAATTCATAATTATTATGCAATGGAACAGATACAAATATTAATTGTATTGTACTTATAAAATTCAAACATAATATCAGCTGAGAGCAACTTTGAGGAGGGACGATAAAGAGAGGGAAAGCAAAAAACATAAGCACATAGAGAAAGTAAAGGCTTGTTAAATAGAATACTACAACATAAGGAAGGCCTAGAAGCAACATGATTACAAAATCTAACATAACAAATTTAATTGTGAAATGAGGGATTACGAGCTCTCGTTGCTTTCCCAACCCCTACGATGCCTGCTGACCAGAAAATCTTATTACCATTCAGGTCTAGTTGATGACTCGTCAAACCATTACCAAGCCTTTCCAAAAGCCACCATCAAGGCTGAATGCTGCTAAAATATGTGTCTCTCAAGGTTGTCTCGTGAACACACAAAAGTCATCACCAAGGCACATTAACAGTTGGATTGGAATTACAAGCACAAATAATGATACTTCTCAATTGATTGCAGTAAATGAATGTGATTACACATAAACAGTATTCAGATCAGAATCTAATGTAATAAAAGCAAGGATCCATTAAAGAATTAGTGTGCGTGGTATAAGATGTCATCAAACATTTTCTTCAGTTCCTGAGTTGCTTAAATACAGTTATATGTGACATCCTATGTGCAACGCAAGACAATTGACACAACTTCAAATCAGAGTATCCAACATCTACATGCTTGTGGATCTTGAGGCCCTTCAAACCATCTATCCCATAATAGGTTTACAGTTCCATGGACTCTGTTAGTAGGGAAAACTGATGAGTACTCACTTCACCTACAAGTCTACGAACAAAATGGAATTCAAAGTAAAGATGTAGGTAATAGCCATTTACTCTGGGAGTAGTGGATCAGGCTTACTTTCCATGTTCTGTAGCAATCTGCACTACGTCAAGTGAAATTGTTTAGGCCTCATAGCATATTGTAGCACAGAACTAATAAGATAAACAACCTTTTTAGCAAAGCTACGAAAAAACCGTGCAGGGTTCATTAAGCCCCCAAGTTGACAAAAGGGTCCATCAACAGAGAAACACCAAGTTACAACTTGCTGAATGGGCAAATCCAACAAGTCTGTTTCAAATTTAACAGTGTAAAAATCTCCCATGAGCTATATATAACTCAGGCTAGTCTTATTTCTTCTTTCACAGAGAAGAGAAACAACTAATGAAACAGTACTTACTCCATGCATATGGTCGACACATTTTCTGTTTTCTCGAGCTCTTCCAATTCTTCCTGTATAACATCCAGGGAAAGA